TATAATCATACCTTAATGGTTTACGTAGGGCCATAGGGATGAACCCTGGTTCACATTTCACTACGGAAATACCTCAGTTTTGACCATTTCACTCTAATTCAACCACTAAATTTGATAGATTAAACATTTTAAGCCGTTTTAAGTGGCAAAACAAGGTAGATAAGGTTTAACCCACCATGGGACATCCCCGATTTTGACCATTTCGCGCTATATTTCTAACCATCCAAATCGATTCAGGCATTCCTAAGCCGCTATAAGTGGTAGATCAACGTGGAGCAAACTTGATCTATCATGGGACTGCCCCGATTTTGGCCATTTCGCTATCTATTCATCCAATAGATCAGACATTACAACCCGTTTTAGGTGGCAGAATAAGGTACATCAAATCTACCATGGGACTGCCCCAAATTTCGACATTTCTCGCTATTTTGACCGTCCGAATGGATGCAACGGCCATTTCTGAGCCGTTTCAGGTGGTAGATCAAAGTAAATCAAATTTGATCTACCGCAGGAATGTCTCGATTTCGACTCACGATTTTGACCCTCCAATTTGATAGAACAGACAGTTCTGAGCCGTTTTATGTAGTAGATCAAGTAGATCAAATTTGATTTACCACAAGAATGTCTCGATTTTGACATTTTACGATTTTAACCATCCAAATCGACATTTCGTTTTATGTGGTAGGTTAAAGTAGATCAAATATGATCTACCAAGGGAATGCCTCGATATTTCACGCTATTTTGACCGTCCATCAATAGAACAGACACTTCTGAGCCGTTTCATGAGATAGAACAAAGTAAATCGAATTTGATCTACCACAGGAATGTCTCGTTGACATTTCACGATTTTGACAATCCAACTTGATAGAACAGCATTTCTGAGTTTTATGTGGTAGATCAACGTGGATCAAATCTGACCTACCACAACACTGCCCCGATTTTCCATTTCGTATCTGACCATCCAAATCGATAGATCAGACATCTTGAGCCAACAACAGAACAAGTGAGATCAAATCTACCACGGGACAGCCCGATTTCGACATTTCAAGCTATTTGATCGTCCAAATTGATAGAACAGACATTCCTAAGCTGTTTTTGTGGCAGATCAAGGTAGATCAGATATAATTTACCATAGGAATGCCTCGGTATTTCACGCTATCTTGACCGTCCAAACCTATAAAACAGACACTTCTAAGCTTTATATGTGGTAGATTAAGGTAGATCAAATTCGATTCACAGAAATGCCTCGATTTTGCATTTCACGATTTTGACCATCCAAATTGATAGAACAGGCATTTCGAAGCCGCTATAGGTGGGAGATCGACATGGATCAAAATTGATCTGCCACAAATGCCTCGATATTGATCACCCCAATCTATAGATCAGACATTTCTAAGCGATCAAAGTAAATCAACCTGCTATTACGCATCATGATTCAGAGCCCACGGCTCCTAGATCACACCATGTGATTGACTTCTTTCGAGCCAGAGAACATCGCATACACAAGGTCATGCATTTAATACAATAAGGAAACCCTGACTATTGAGTGCCTCCCTAGCAAACCTTCTTCATGAAGTGATAGAGAGATTTTTAGAAGCACAGTCAAGTCGCCTGCTGACAGTGCTTTACAACTTTTCACGATGACTGTTCTCAACAGAATATCAAGGACTCTGGATGAGGTACAATCTCTAGCAAGCTGTTGGATGTAGCTACGCGGATCGCATCCCGACGGTTTTTGGCCTCCTGCAGTGAGTGATGAAATACTGGAGTGGAACGAGATATACGAGTTAATGGAAAATTCCTCTCACACCTTCATTTTGAAAACGACAGTTCTCTTTTTGAGGAGTATCACTGCAAAAATAATGTTGAAAGAACAAAACGAACTAGGGAAGCGGATGGGCTGCGAATTAACCAGAGGAATACTCAATTCATGAAGAACACTTTTGCGAAACAGATGTAGAAGGCTCTGTAATCGCGGAAACATCTTTTTGCGTATATCTCGGCGTTCGATAAGCATGGATGTTCGTGGATAGTGATCTGATAAACTGAACAAGAGGTGAAGGACAGCTTGGGCCGCTATCGGGTCCCTAAGGGAAACCACAGACCAGCTAACGGATCGAGAGCTCTGAGCCCACCTGTTCGATTCAACCGTTTTCCCACTCCGTTATGCACAGAGACGTGACCTGACACTGTGGCTACGTCGAAGCCTCTCTGAACAAGCCATAGAGCGCTGGAAGACGTTTGCTGGAGCTAACCGACGTACCCTGCATCTCGTCAAAGTTCGCAGTTCAGATATGAGACCATCTCGTCTTCATCTAGCGGAATACGTCTCTCAAGCAAAACATCGATGTGCTGGTCATATAATGAGAAGAACAGACGGCAGATGGACACTAAAAAGTCGGTCCTCGAGGGATGATACCGACCAGATGGGCTGACAAATTCATTGCACGGATGGAGCTGAATTTCCTGGTAAACATCAATAATTCTGGACCTCGCAAACGTCGCCGGCGCCGTGGTTCAATACCAACATTATGGATGACGTTAGCGAAAGGCAGAAACGCTGCCGGACGAGTAAAGACAGGCCATCTATCTAGGTAAGTAGTAATGAGATGTTATGTCGACTAAAACTCGTTTCTAGGAACCATCAACATACAGTCAATACGCCAAATATCCAAACCTTTGGGTCGGTCTGAAA